ACGTTCAAATCATTTATAAAAATTAGATTCATTCAGAAAAATGAGATGGACTATTTTTTTTTATTGCGGACGTATCTGCGAGTTTACATAGAATGGTGCGAGTTTATATTGAATATCACAGGGGAGTAAATCGGGTGACACAAAAGCACCACGACAGCCGCTATATAATTCATTGTAAAATTACTGCGCTAGAAATCGCGTGGCGACCATGGGAGATTGAACATAGTTCAACTCCCAAAAATTGCCTGTAGCATCCCCCCCCCCACACACACACCCTCACACACCCCACAAAATAGGATTTTCGAGTTGGGGCATTTTCTTTAGCTTGTCAGGTTTTTCAGGTAAGAAAAAATTCTCTGGCTGCCCCTATCCCACTTTCAAAATCGATGCTACGTGCCTGATTTAAGTAATAGATAGACATGGTTTCAGGTAATGTAACATTTTTACTACTTAATTGTACATGGAAAGCTACTTGGTTAAAATATTATACATGTACCTTTACTTGGCTCCGTAGTAGGTTTACTTGGTGTATTTGTTACATCTATACTTGTCTCAGTAGTGGGGTTAGTTGGTGGATATGTTACATCTTTACTTGTCTCAGTAGTGGGGTTAGTCGGTGGATATGTTACATCTTTACTTGTCTCAGTAGTAGGGTAAGTTGGTGGATATGTTACATCTTTACTTGTCTCAGTAGAAGGGTTAGTCGGTGGATATGTTACATCTTTACTTGTCTCAGTAGAAGGGTAAGTTGGTGGATATGTTACATCTTTACTTGTCTCAGTAGAAGGGTTAGTCGGTGGATATGTTACATCTTTACTTGTCTCAGTAGAAGGGTAAGTTGGTGGATATGTTACATCTTTACTTGTCTCAGTAGTAGGGTAAGTTGGTGGATATGTTACATCTTTATTTGTCTCAGTAGAAGGGTAAGTTGGTGGATATGTTACATCTTTACTTGTCTCAGTAGAAGGGTTAGTCGGTGGATATGTTACATCTTTACTTGTCTCAGCAGTAGGGTTAGTTCGTTGATATGTTACATCTTTAGTTGTCTCAGTAGTGGGGTTAGTTCGTTGATATGTTTCATCTTTACTTGTCTCAGTAGTAGGGTTAGTTGATGGATATGTTACATCTTAACTTGTCTCAGTAGAAAGGTAAGTCGGTGGATATGTTACATCTATACTTGTCTCAGTAGAAGGGTAAGTTGGTAGATATGTTACATCTTTACTTGTCTCAGTAGAAGGGTTAGTCGGTGGATATGTTACATCTTTACTTGTCTCAGTAGAAGGGTTAGTCGGTGGATATGTTACATCTTTACTTGTCTCAGTAGTAGGGTTAGTTGGTGGATATGTTACATCTTTACTTGTCTCAGTAGAAGGGTATGTTGTTGTGTATGTTAAATCTTTACTTGTTTCAGTAGAAGGGTTAGTTGGTGGATATGTTACATCTTTACTTGTCTCAGTAGTAGGGTTAGTCGGCGAATATGTTACATCTTTACTTGTCTCAGTAGATGGGTTAGTTGGTGTGTATGTTACATCTTTACTTGTCTCAGTAGAGAGGTTAATTGGTGGATATGTTTCATCTTTACTTGTCTCAGTAGAAGGGTTAGTTGGTGGATATGTTACATCTTTACTTGTCTCAGTAGTAGGGTTAGTCGGTGGATATGTTACATCTTTACTTGTCTCAGTAGAAGGGTTAGTCGGTGAATATGATACTTCTATACTTGTCTCAGTAGAGGGGTTAGTCGGTAGATATGTTACATCTTTACTTGTCTCAGTAGAGGGGTTAGTCTGTGGATATGATACATCTTTACTTGTCTTAGTAGAAGGGTTAGTCGGTGAATATGATACATCTTTACTTGTCTCAGTAGAGGGGTTAGTCTGTGGATATGTTACATCTATACTTGTCTCAGTAGAGGGGTTAGTTGGTGGATATGATACATCTATACTTGTCTCAGTAGTGGGGTTAGTTGGTGGATATGATTCATGTTTACTTGTCTCAGTAAAGGGGTTGGTTGGTGGATATGTTACATCTTTACTTGTCTCAGTTGTAGATCTAGAATCAATGTTTGAGGCTGTGTTGTGAGAACTGAATGTTACTTCCGGTGATGTTTCACCTGCTGCTACATAATGAGATGTGATTGCTACCGAAGATGTAATAATCGTAGGTGTTTCTGAAAGAAATAGAAATACATGTATAGAATTCGAAATAACTACACGTGGTTGAGTGAAATACTGAAAAAAAATTTCACTCTAAGAAAACCATTGTCAACCGAGATACATACCAAAACAATATGCAGAAGTACATAAATCCAATGGCTTCAATTTATAGACTAGAAAATCTCCACAGTTCTTAACTTCAATGTTGTAACTTCTTTCACAGCTAACGCTATATCCAACCTGACAGGCAGATACCAATCCAGTTTGTCCTTCATTGGGTGGCTGATCTTATAAAACAAGAAATGTTTTACATTTCCGATGCACATACAATATAAAAATTGACTGTGGAAAATGTTGGAGTCGTAATTCAGTTTGGACACTTTTCTAGATCTAATGCAATTAATGTGAATAAAAAAATGAATAAAAAAAGTCCAAATTAATTTTTACTTAGTTCATAGAAAGTTTAATTACAAAAGAGAGATTGTTAATTAAATATAAGTAGTGAAAATTATACATGTAACACAATTGATATCCACAGCCGTGTAAAATCACTTTGATAACCACAGCCGAGTATTAGTGCTTTAATTAAATAGGACAAGTAAGTGTTTATATAGGGCATAATAATCCCTAGGCTTGTCTAAAGAATCTGTAGATTCCTTATTCTAAATAATAGTACTGTACAGAGTAAAGTAAAAATGTTAGATAATAATTCAATCAGTCAAATCGGGGACTATTGCAAATTAACTTTATTACATAATTCTTGAAGGAATTTAAACATTTTCTATCTTCACCAACAAAACAAGAAATAGGAACCAAATAAACATATTCCCGTTGATGGGTGTTTCCAATTATTAGGAAATAAAAGACCAAAACAATGGACAAATAACTTCGAACAGTGGACAAACAACTCCAGTATAAAAAGGAAAAACCAGGAGAGCCCAGAGAGACGGCTACTGAGATACCAAGAGAGAGTCACTGGACCTAGTAATTCCTCCCCTGAACTGGACTGAACACTTTGGATAGGTTTACAGAAATTCCGAACTTTTAACTTTGAAAAGACTTTAATTTTCATTCCGAAATGTTAACATTGAAAAGACTTTTTAATTTTTATTCTACGGACTTTATTCAAAAAACTATACGATCACTGTTATTTTGATGACTATATTTAACTTAATAAAATTTTGTAGAGAGTTTAATCATCTTGTCTTGATTATAGCTCTGCTCCGTTACATACACAACCTTTCATTGTCATTAATTTTGCATTTAAAAATAAAAATACGAGGGTTGTTAGAAAAGTTTGCAGGCAAATTAATCTTTTGTGAACTGTGTAGTATGACAAATGTCTGATTAAATAAAGCAGAGTTTTTGAAAAATCTTGTACGTGAAAAGAAGGAATCACTTGTTGTGGCCTTCAAGGGGACATTTAGATATATCGACGACGAGTTGTCAATTAACAATGGCAATTTCCATTCTTATTTCGATACGATATAACCTGGTGAGCTTGAGATAAAAGATACCACATGGTCTGAAATATCTATTTCATATTTAGATATTTTACTTGAAAAGACGTTTATGGTAATCTACAACCAAGTTCTATGATATACCTGAATTTTCAATCGTGAACTTTACTTACGTATGCAGCAATATACCTTCATCGCCTGTATACGGAGTTTTTTTTTAATTTCAGCTGATTCGATACACAAGAGCATGTTCTACAAATTATTTTTTTTTAAAACGAGGTAAATTTATGAGAAACAACTTGTCGAAACAGGAATATCAGCAGAATTTTTCAAAGTCAACACTTTGTAAATATGGACTTTGAGTTCGTTTTCTCCATATCCATATTCGATACAATGACCTTGTCAGCAAATGCAATTTTCATTGAGTCAAATATTGACTAATGTTTTCCAATCTAATTGTAAGTCCATAATTAATGCACTGAATTGACGGTGCAATCCCCCTTTATTTCCCGATCATGACAAGGAGCTAACGGCGGGTGTGACCAGACGGCAGGGGATGCTCACTCCTCCATGGCGCCCTGATAACACCTTATGTTTTGAAAATCCAATCGTTTTTCGCGTTGATAATTTATAAATGGCTATAAAACGGCCCTATACCCTCCAATTTGATTCAAGATTTCACAAAGTGACGTGAAAAAAATCATCTAGCGACATCTAAATTATCTAAAACCTTTTAGCACAACAACTGTGCAATTTTTAATTTCAAGTTTATGTAATGTAAAGGTGTGAAAAAGTAACATACTCTGTAAAGCATGTTTTAAGCATGTTTTATGATTATGTAGCAGTATATTTTATAAGGATAGCCGGAAAACACTAAATCTTTGTATATTTATTGGAAAAAAGTTTTGTATCTTGAGAATGTTTCCGGTTTTATGGTAAAAAAAAACGCTCTCACAATAGAATCTGTCGCCGAACCTTTCTAACAACCATAGTATATTTGCTTTGTTTATTAAGGTACATGAATTGTAAAACCTACCTTTCAACCAGACTGGATACAATGTACCACAATATGTAAGAGAGGGAGATGTAGACATATTGTATCCCCTCGCTCCGTACCAGCCCTCTAGGATATACCGGTCACAGATCGGGGAGGAATCCATAACGTACAAAGGACTTCGCTTCTCCAGGAAAGGAGGGGTAGAATGGTTTCCATCTAAACAGGGATCCTGCGCACGTATATCTATTTTCAAAAATCGGTATAAATAACTCGAGATTGACAAAAAGATAAAAAGCAAGAAGCGAATATCTCAGAAAATGGTCTTGTTTTGAGAACCTTCCTTTAACAGCCATTGTACGCATTGAATGCGTATTCAATATAGACCCTATTTCCAGGGATGATTCATCTAAGGATACTTAAAACTGGTCTTTCTACGAAAATCAATTAATAAATTATTGGAGTAAAGAAGTGGATAAGGAAAAATATCGATGTGCACAGTAAAATTTGTTGCAATTATAGAGTAAATCATTCATTTCTAAAAATGTGTCAATTTAATTATGATAAAGAAAAATCAGGTGTGGATTTCAAACAAACGTTTAAATAATTTTCGGAAATTAATAGAAATTTACAATAAATTTACCCTGAACAAATAATAAGATAATCAACAGTATCCTTCTGTTTTCTTTAGGATAAAGCTGCATCCCTATCCCTAAAAGAGAGAAAAATGGGAGATTTAGAAAAGATAATTCATATCAAAGGTAAATATAAGTATGATATATAAGTCCATTAAACATTAAAAATCATGAGCAGTACAAATTCGGACCTCTAAAGAGCAGGGGTGGTATAATGTGTCATGGAAGAGAAAGGGTCCCCTGCTGATGGGTCATTCCTTGTCCTGAATGGTAAATAACGGTAAAAATCTGTCCATCATTCAGTTATTAAAGAATGGCTCATAAATTATAATAAAAAACGTCAATCAGTATTTGACTTAATGAAATATTGTAGAAATGTTAGAAATTAATCATATCCAAGTTGCTCTTGTTTTAAATGACAAACCAAAATCTATGTCCTCGAATCATAAGTATTTTCTAGTAGAATCTTATAACCGTTTACTTAATCTGGAAGCATTTTTAGCAGCTTTTTATCTATTTTATATTCTTACTGTAAGTTACAAAAAAAACCTCATAAAAAAAGAATTCACATAAAATATAAATATGCATCAATCAACAAAATGGTGATATGTGTTTGCTAATGCAAGCACTAAGAACTGTTTCTATATTATAATTCAACCTCGTTTAAAAGGGAACGTCAATTGTCAATAAAAATAATCATGTTAACAAATGCATTCTAAAAATCGAATTCTGTCTGACGCTTGTTAAACAAAATGCTCATAGTATAGTCTTTCGTAGAAGACAACTTTCTGATCTAAGATGTCTGAACATATAAAAAACTTCAGGTAAACACACATTGATGGTGTTTTTCTCGCTTCGGTGCCACCACCCCGAGTCACGCCCCACCGCCACCCCGAATGAGCCGTTCTATCCGGTGCTGTCGTTACCTTTACATTTCATGAAATGGCAAATGTTTAACACATTTCATTCATTTCAATTCTCCCATATATTTAAATTTTAATGCCTAAATTTAGAACTTTTTGAGTACTTAACAATTTTAAAGAGCATATTTGATAATATTCAAACATATTTGTTAGAAATCAATAGACTGAATAAACTTGTTTAGCAACAAATATTACTGAAATGAAATGTTCAGAATAAATGTATTTTTGGTGAATATCTACCTATCAACCAGTGATTGATTTTCAATAAAGACATTTCATTTTATTTTGGCTTTCAATTCTGTGACCTAACAAGCAAAATAATGATTTTCTCTTCTCATTAAAAACGTATATTGTATCATATTCAATAGTATGAATTGACTTGCATATATTAAATATTGTTAAATTTCTTAATCGAAAGTTTCCCCTTATAACTTCTTCACCTGCTTAAGATAAAATGTACCAAAGCTTTTCTTATATTGTTAATTTTGGTAACATTTTGTGCTAGCAAATTTTTCTGAGAAGTTCCCTGGAATGGTTTAGTATTCACATAAGATTTTCACCACTCCTCGACTGCATTGTTGCACGGTAAGTTTGAGATAGAGGACGTTCTTCGTATAAATTGTTATTCCATTATTTACATACTGAACTATCGACGGTTTTTCTGTATTTTTTTTCGGTCATGACAGGGTGTACTCCACGGTTCTGACCGGTCAGCAGGGGATGCTCACTCCTTCAGAGCACCAGATCCCACCTCTGATGTTTTGATCGTCCGTGTTTGCTCTGCTCCTACTTTGTATTGTTTATTGGACTTTTTAGCTTGTATACTATACAATTATTGCTGGTTTTTGAGGTCAATATAATGATTTAGCCATCTGAGGAGTACAATATTCACCGAGCCCGAAGGGTGAGGTGAATATTGTACTTCGAAGATGGCTAAATCATTGTATTGACCGAAAAAAACAGCAATAATTGTTTTATTATATGATTCACTGATAAAATGATACAGCTCAATACTTGTTTGCATTTTATTAAGTCCTAGCCAAATACAAGAGAGTAGCAGAATTAAAATGTGAATAAACCTTACCAGTCGTATCAATTTAAAATGTTTTTTTAAAATCAATTTTAGTTGCCCTGAAAGAAATATATAATGTCGGTCTTTTTTTATAGGATAGATTTTGTAAGGAAGAAGTATTATCAGGGAAAACTGACTGCCAAAAAGTAAAAAAAAAATTGTTGTTCAGTTAATGTGTTGGAGGGGGTGGGGGTCCCTGCATTCCCTCTTACCACCCTCACCTAAAATATACATTCGCTTATGTTTTGTTTACATGAAAATAAAAATCATAGACATTTAAATAGCTTTCTAAAATAATTTGTATCAATTTATAATTTCCCAATCTATTTTTAGATCAATGTAGAGGAAATAAATCCTTGTATTGACTTGGAACGTCACGTGCAGGTCAATACAACGTAATATTTTTCTAACATAGTTGGATCTCAGCCAATCAGAGAGATGGAAATTATTCAGTCATATAATAAAGTTCATTATTTCCTTCTATTCTTTACTCACTAATGTCGGTTTTCATTGCATTACTAGTATATATAATAAATTGTTTATGTGGGCGTTTCATATCACAAAATTTATTTGTCTTGAATCCTATAACGTTATTGAGACATCATTAATGACTACTTATTAAAAAGAATTTCGAGAAGTCAATTACATTAGTCGTTTGTTAAAAAAATTAATAGTCTTCTATCCATTTCAAATTGTAAACATTATATATTTAACTCGATCATTCCACTGTTGATTTTGAGTTGATATAGAAATGTAAACAGAACATCTAAAACAAATATAGCGAGTTCTCTTTCCGAAACTCGATCCTGCATTTTGGGATATATATTTTTATACCCCCGCTTGAAAAGCGGGAGGGTATATAGTAATCGGTATGTCCGTCCGTCCGTCCGTCCGTCTGTTACGTTTTCTGATACCCATCTCTTTTCCGCAACTTCTCTCGTACCACTGAGTGAAATTTAATGAAACTTTCACAGTATCTTTACTACATATTACCATTGTGCACCTTCTATAATTTTACTTTTTGATCCGACACATATTTTGGTTATCCCATAGCAAAGGCGGAGGGGGGGGGGAGTATCATTTATTTAACTCATTGCTTACAGTACCTCTAGTTTTCATTTATTCTAGAGACATTGTTTATTTTCTTTACATTTTTAACTCGCTCGATTTTCGTTATCGTCAATTGTCTTGATTCAACTAGAGTACATTCCATCTTGTCGTCTTAACGTTTTACACATAATGACTCGCTTTCATGTTGTTACTTGATAAAGGTATATTCTAGCATTTTTTATCGTACATTGGGATCCAAGAATATCAAATCCTCTCTGCCTCAAAGTCTAAACATTTTGCTAACACGGGGATAACCTAGGCTTATCATCAAGCTATTTTTGGCCATTTCCTTTGTTTTGTTTTTATCGTCTTATCTTTTGTGTTTCATGGGATGCTCGTGAGGTCATATCAGGGCTGCGACTCACTTAATGCAAAGATTTTGCATTTAAATCAGTTTTGGTGCTGTGACTGACCACAATCTATAAAAATTAAGTAGCAACTGCTCCTTCACCAAGCGCTCGGCAACTCGAAGTAGAGGCTGTGGAGGAGACCTTAAAACCTGAAGTCCGGTGTCACGAAAGGCATTGGCACGATAAAGAATCCTTACTGCTCAATGACCATGAGTACAGAGTAAAGGTCAAAATTTGAGGTTCCTCATCGAAATACGGTGACATCTTTTATACGAGTGAAAAATTATTGAATGGGACGAAAAACAACTGATCTCACGACGACAATCATGTAATCAGGTTAAATATTCAGCAATTTTTTTTAATTTGCCCTCTTTAAAATTTTGGAATTGAAATATAATGACAGATGTCGAAATGGTTTCAAAATTGCACATCGAAATATTTCAAACGAGATTCTGAAAATTTATCCCTGGTAAAATTTGACGGACATATCTCCCATCTCAACCAGAAAACAGACAAAGAAAATCTAGACTGAAAAAAAGTTCTTCACCTTACCTGCAAGTCTTCCTTACATTCGTGTCAATAGTGTCAGTGGAAGCCTCGTTCATACTGTTCCTATCTGGAAAGTCCTCGCTATTGTCGAGTTATAATTACACAGAAAAAATGGGATTGCATAATTTATAAATTTATAAAAAAAAAAACAAAAAAAAAACATCGGAACCATATTTATCGGTAGGCTGAATGATATATATACATTATATAATTTGATTGTTTAATTAATAGATAAATCATTGATACATATAAAAGAAGGATATGGAGATAACGAACAGTATTCAATCTCAAAGTCCGTAAAACAATTCAAAATAGGAGCAGAGTAAACACGGACCATCGAAACATCAGAGGTGGGATCAGGTGCCATGGAGGAGTGAGCATCCCCTGCTGACCGGTCCCCGTCGAGTGCTCCTTGTCATGACCAGGAATTAGCGGAAAAATCCGTCGTCAATTCAGTGAATAAATAATGGACTAGTTTTTATGTGTCTTGTATGTAATGGGTGATCAAATGTTTCACAATATCTCTTATACATAACCACAATTCGGAATGAAAAAAAAACTAAGGGTGTCCAAAGTGAGGACAATGCCTAGCTCTGAGACAATCTTTATTTATTCTAACTTATCAAGCGCTAGATCTGATGTTAATAAAAAAAATGCGTATCACGTATATATATTTGACTTTTATCCGAAAGCATTCAAAGAACTGGTATTTACACAAATAAAGGGCATAAAAATATGGGACTATCTATCAAGGATGTGTGTCTGGGGCATTTCACGCTACTAGAAAATGCATCATTTAATTAATATGTAAAATAAAAGTCTACATTGGAACGTCAATATAACCACGCAGTACAGTTAAGGTGCGCAATGGAAATATCGACTAAATTTTGTATTTAAAAATATATTCGTAATCGGGATGGCGATTATTTTTAATATATTATTTATATTGGATAATTGCAATTAAGATTAATAACAACATATCGAGGACGATTATATTTTATATTTAGACTAGTCGCGTGATGCGGCAGTCACGCGATTTTAGCACATTGACTTGAAGTATTGATGTTACATATAAACATCAATAGTGCAAGGGCATAACCAAGTTAAATTTCCAAGTTTAGTATAGAAATATTTTCAACACGCATTGTAGTTTCTAAAAAGTGCTGCGATTCTGTCTTAATTCTGCAATTTCATTGTTAAAATCATACTTGTATGACCGATTGCCATATTTTTTGCTGGTCAGCGGTATGAAATATTGATATAATTAAATTGTTTTTGAGATTTCATCAGGATCGCAACACCTTTCAGATACCTTAATAGTTCTATAGTTGAAATGTAAAAGCTTACTTTGATCTATAGATTACCCTCCGATGTACTTGCATAAAAATATACGGCAGTATCAGTTAAATATGTAATGTACAGAAAATATATTAATAACAAAAGTCGAGAAGACATTGAATTAAAGTTATTGGCCCATAGAATTTCTGTAAATAATATTTTATTTAATTAGAGAATACATATTTTGTTGAGAAAATATTAATAAATCTGTCTCTCACTGCATACAAACTACGTCACGTTGTAAAGAAATGACGTCATACTGACAAGTGTATTGCGATCAGTGACTTGTTTGTAACTTGTTATGTGGGATTTAACTAACGACAAAACAACACGCTGTAGTAAGTTTTTATGTAGTTTGATGATTTCTTACTGGTTAAATTAGCAGATAAACTCATTTTGTGGTATTTTAAAGAAATGTTGTATGACGTATATTGTGTATGATGTCATAGTCAGGTTTTCCCGTACAAATTAGGTTCCGCCTCCTTTTTGTAACCTTTACTGTGCTGCGCAAGCTATTCTTGACATCATTTTATGGCATATACACCTTACAAACACGTCATTTCTCTTTCACTCCTTTCCCTTCACTTCCTCTTATTTCTATTTTTCTTTCTCCTCCCTTTCCCCATTTCTCAAATCTATATTAAAGTCATAAACGACTCTTACGTCTATTAACCACGCCAGTTTAGAAAGGCGCTAAATTCACATTAAAGATTACGGAAAAAAGCAATTATGAAGAAAGAAAATTAGACAATATAAATAAAAGCAATGACTTTATAATTTGGATGTCTTCGGTCCTATAACACATCTGGCTGAGCCAACACATTATCATACCGCGCTAATGAATTCAATGCTTAAAAGTAACACAGGCGATCCTTGTCACCGCGCGGTAAAAATACAGTAGGAACTATACTGTTTTCAATACTCTATGAACGCCTTCAAATACGGGGTATATTGTTTTGACCCAATTGAATAAAAACAATTACCTTGTTGAATTAACGTAAAAATACAACATCTGTGTGTTTAAAAATAATTAGTCATTTTCTTTCCTCACAATTCTCATTTGTGTTATTTTAAAGCTTTCCAACGTCACAAACGGCTCTTGCGTCTATTAAGCACTGACCATTGAGTTCTAAAAGGCGCTAACGCGCGGTATTCAATTTATCAGCACAGCCTGGTGTGATATAGGACCGACGATATCAAAACATAAAAAAAATCAATGTTTAAATATGAAGTGTCTGATTTTTTATGAATTCTTCCAAATTAAACATTTTTATTGTTAGTATGCACATTCTTTTTTTGCTATACATATATATCTGAAATTTTGCAGAGTGAAACATACAACTAAAAATAAAAGGGATAGTCATTGAGTCAAATGCTGACTGACGTTTTTCATACTAATTGTTACCATGCCTTCAGAGAGAGAGAGAGAGAGAGAGAGAGAGAGAGAGAGAGAGAGAGAGAGAGAGAGAGAGAGAGAGAGTAAACTGGTAAATGGAAAAATAATGCGTACATATGTTACAATTGCCTTGGGTTCATGATCTGAGTGAAAATAGCAACATTTTTTCAAAACTTAAAGATTAAAGTTACACATAAGATAATGCAGCCTCTTCCAATGCATTCTTTTCAAAAATAGAATGTCATCATGTAGAATTGAGTCATAAAATAACATGAGTATAGCAATAGTTACTCAACAATGATAAAAAGTAGAATTTTCTCTTTTCTGGATTCGTTGCATTAAAGATAATAATGGCAGAAACTGCATGTATTAACGAAAATGTGTACAACCAAGTTAAAGAGGCAAATGATTCAGATAGATAAGCTGCAAATTATACTTCATCAAGAGCCAATTTTCACGGACCAAACTATTTTTATATGTGTGGATCTATTTACCTAATAAACATAGAGTTATTTTTTTAAAGACACGTATTGTTTGATGGTAAAACTACATTGTCGATTGTCAAAATAAAAAAAAAATGATTTTCAGCACCAGTAGCAGGGACATTTTTTTGTTACAGTAGAAATTTTTTTTTTCTACTTTAGAAGTAGGAGAATTGTTTTTTTCCAATAGGAGAATTGTTCTGTTATCGATTGGATGCAAACACTTCACAGAAGGACCAGGGTTCCCGGTTCAGTAGGAGATCGGGCTCGGGATACTAGGTATATACAAACACTTCACATAAGGACCAGGGTTCCCGGTTCAGTAGGAGATCGGGCTCGGGATACTAGGTAGATACAAACACTTAACATAAGACCAAGGTTCCCGGTTCTTCCCACCTGCCAGGTAGATTGTTATTTCTCTGCAGCTAATGGGATTCGGACATGCACAGTAGTACTTGCAGATAGAATGTCCTGCAATTGTAACATCACTGAGCAGCGAACAAAACTGCGTTGGTTGTCCCACAATGCAATAGGAGACCTACATTTGTTAAAAAAAAAATTAAAATAGCGTTCTTATTCCATTGAAAACACTACGAATTTGTCAAACAAATAATAATAAAAGTAAGATTTAAATTCGAATTCATATTTTTAATAAGAATATAAAACTTGAAAGCTTTGCTCTACGATGCTTAAGTTTACAGTACTTCATGCATAAAATCTTGCCTGACTCATTCTCTCTATGGATTGTCTATCACATGATAGTCCGTTTCCTGTTATGGTAATGTCATATGGGATAGCCTTAATCCCAAAGGTTTCAATCACAGATATCCTGACCAGAAAGAAGGGGGTTTGTTCATCCTGTAGGGGTAGCTGAAAGCAGGTCATGTTGTCTCCGTCCAACGCCCTTGTCATCTCTAGCTTCATGTCCCCAGAGTGGTCATTAAATATATCAATGTGACTGACACCTGAAATAAAAATCTGAGTCCATTATTTATACACTGAATTGACGACGGATTTTTCATACTGTTTCGACTGACAAAACATTTGGTCGTGATAATTAAGGCAAAGTTTAATCTTCTATAATGTTTTTTCCTCTATGTATAGCATAGTTTAATCTTCTATGTATGACACCTGATCACATCCCTAGTCATTTAGAAGTCCGTGTTTTTTCTGTATCAAATTTGTGCTATTTGATATTGACCTCTGAGCTTGAATACATAGAGAATATTTAATGTTTTGTACAATGTTGTTGAATATGGAATTCATTTCGCGAGTGGGACAGGATTTTTTGATATTTTCATGAGTACGAAGCACGAGTGAAAATATAAAAAGAAATCCTGTCTCACGAGTGAAATGAATTCAATATTCAACTATAAAACGTTGAATTTTCTGTTAATTACATTTTCTTTGATTTTCTCTTTGCCTATTTGTCTTCTTGTAGGCCCTATATAAGCTCTATATACAGTCATGGGTTACATGATGTCATAGTTGAGCGGTTGAGACGTCATAGCTAAGTGATGCGAGATGGAAAACATTGTAAACATGGATTTTAGCAACATGTATTGGGGAAATGGCAGTATTATTCTCTGCCAGAATGGTTTATTCTCTCTCTCTCTCTCTCTCTCTCTCTCTCTCTCTCTCTCTCTCTCTCTCTCTCTCTCTCTATATATATATATATATATATATTATAACAGTCGAAGGAATATTTTTACAAATCTTCGTTATGGGAAGGTAAATCTGTGACAGGATATCACTTTTATGCAATGGATAAATTACAGTATTTCACTGTTGAAAATGTAATCATCTTCATTATCTCTATATATTTCATTTATTAAACGATAACATAAATTCAATGCTCTACCTTTGCACTGTACGCTGGACAAGACTGGACTTTCGGCTAAAATGAGATAAAGGGGAGTCTTTAAATCATGTTTAAATGTAAATTGTTCTTGTCTTACAGTGTTTTGTTTCATTTTTTTCTCTAAAGCTTATTGCTATGTAAACATTAAAATTGAGTTCCATGCCATTATGATGAGTTTGATATACAAAGAAAGCTTTTACTCAGAGTGAATGATTAACAATTCAATTCTGTATTTTTAATTTTCGAAAAAAATCCAATAACATGTTAAGAAGTATAATTTTCTGAAACAAGAGCATAAGATAATTGTCGATTTATCAGAGTAAAATTTTCATTTGATTAATGTGTAGAGTTACTTTCAGGGTCTGTGACATCTATACTACTTAATAGTAATTGAAAGGCTACTTAAAATATCATACCTTTACTTTGCTCGGTAGTAGATTTAGTTGGTATATAAGTAACATCTTTACTTGTCACAGTAGAGGGTTTAGTCGGTGGATATGATACATCTTTACTTGGCTCAGTAGAAAAGTTAGTAGGTAGATATGATACATCTCTACTTGTCTCAGTATCGGGGTTTGTTGGTGGATATGATACATCTTTACTTGTCTCAGTAGAGGGGTTAGTCGGTGGATATGATTCTTCTTTACTTGTCTCAGTAGAGGGGTTAGTTGGGGGATATGTGACATCTTTACTTGTCACAGTAGAGGGGTTAGTCGGTGGATATGTAACATCTATACTTGTCTCAGTAGAGGGGTTATTCGGTGGATATGATATATCTTTACTTGACGCAGTTGTAGAAACTCTGGTAGATGCTAAGTTGTGAGTACTGAATGTTACTTCCGGTGAATTAAGTTTCACTTGCTGCTGCATTAAAAGTTGTGATTGCAACCGAAGATGTTATAACCGTTGGCGTTTCTGAAAAAAATAGTAATTCATGTATATAAATACTGCACGTAGATGAGTGTAGCGCTGGAAATTTTCACTCCAACAAGAAAACCATTTTCAACTGAGGCACATACCAAAACAATATGCAGAATTACATAAATCCACTGGCTTTAATTTGTAGACGAGGAACTCCCCACAGTTCTTCACTTCAATGTTGTAACTTCTGTCACAGTTAGCTCTAAATCCAACCTGACAGACAGATAGCAATTCAGTTTGTCCTTCACTTGGTGGCTGATCTTATAGAACAAGTAATATTTTACTTCATGCATTCATGATGCACGATGACATGAGGAATAATTGTGAGAAATTGTGCCATTATTGTTCAATTAGGACATTTTTTTAAATCTTGTGCAATTATTATGAATGTAAAAAAAGTTAAATATAAAGTTACAATTTTTTTAACTTAGTTGCTGACTGACATTTTTTCATACTAATCGTTAGGCCATTATATACACGCTGAATTCATGATGGATTTTTTTTCATTATTTTCCGATCATGACAAGGAGAAAACGACGGGTGTGGCCGATTGGAAGAGGATGTTTCACCTTTGATGTTTTGGAATTCCGTATTTGCTCTGCTTCTATTTGTTTTTATTTGACTTTTGAACTTGGATACTTTTTGTTATGTCCATATAGTTTATTAGTGTACTGAAAGCGTTACTCTTGTTAAAGATTTATTGAAAAGGGACATTTTTAATTAAATAAAAGTAGTGCAATATATGTGCATCCTTTCACTGCCATTTAGTATGCATTTTTCAAATATATTCGCTTTGTTTACTAGTTAAAACATGTATTTAGATATACGAATTCTAACACCTACCGTTTAACCAGACTGGATACAGTGTGCCACAATATGTAAGAGAGGGAGGAGATAAAGATATATTGTATCCTCTCGCCCCGTACCAGCTTTCCACGATGTACCTGTCACAGATCGGCGTCGAATCCATAACGTATAGAGGGCTTCGCTTCTCCAGAGAAGATGGAACGCCGTGGTTTCCATCTAAACAGGGGTCCTGCGCCTGTATATCTATTTTTAGAAATCAGTAAAAATAACTCCATTTTGATATAGAGAAATAAAGCAATAATAGAACATGTTTGCAATAAATGGTCTTGTTTTGAGAATCTTCCTTTAACAAGCATTGTACATGTACCCTATATAGACCATATTTCCAGGAATGTTTCATCTAAGGATGCCTAAAATTGGTCTTGCTTCGAAAATCAATTGACAAATATTTGGAAGAATTAGATAAGAAAAATATATCGATGTGCATAGTAAAATTTGTGGCAATTGTAGAATAAATCTTTCATTTCTAAAAATATGTCAATCAAATTATGATAAAAAAAAATTCAGACGTAACTTATAAACGAACGATTAAATAATGTTTGGTAATGAATTGAAATTAACAATAAATTTACCCTGAATAGTTAATAAGATAATCAACAGTATCCTTCTGTTTTCTTTAAGGTAATGCTGCATCCCTAAAAGAGACGAAAAAGGGGAGATCTTGAAAAGATAATTCATATCAGAGGTAAATTTAAGTATGATAAATAGGTCCATTAAACACTACAAATCAGGAGCAGAACAAATTCGGACCTCTAAACAGCAAGGATGGGATGATATGTAATGGAGAAGAGAGCGTTCCCTGTCGATGGGTCACTCCTTGTCCTGACTGGGAAATAACGGTAAAAATCCGTCAACAATTCAGTGGGTAAAGAATAGCTCAACAATTACTATAAAAAACGTCAATCAGCATTTGAGTTAATGAAAAATTTTAAAGAATATTAGAAATTAAGCATATCCTAGTTCGGCTCCTTATTTTCAAATGACAAACCTAAAATTTATGTCCTGGAATCATAAGTATTTTGTCGTAGAGTCTCGTAACCGTTTACTTAATCTGGAACAGTTTTAGCTGCTTTTTTATTTATTAAGGTCTTCCGTTTCCAACGGAAAACCTTCTACTGATTCTGCTGGTAAAGATTATTATTCTTTTTTTTTCTTCTACTTCCTAGACGCCAACTTTGAGGCCTCATACCTAACTCATTTATCAACAGATTTCGCTCAAATTTTCAGACATTGTAGACATCATTAAACTCTATCAGAGTGCTATCTAACATTTCAAAAATTCACTTCCGCTTTTGAGTTATTCCCCTTTAAACGAAAATTTATAGGCTTTCGTTTCCGGATAAAGGCTCAGAGACCACAAAAGCTGGAGCAGAATTTTTACTGATTTTAGGTAACAGAAGGATTGAAGTTGTGCACATCTGTTTTTGTTTTTCGATTTCTGTATTCAAAATAACGCTATATAGGGGTCAAAAATTAGAACGCCTAAAAGAGCGAAAATTTACACATATTTTCCTTTTTATCTTGAAAACTAAAAATATTTTGTTAAGACATAATGAACAAAAATTGTGCATAATTGCAAGGGCTTTCATATAATAATACACAAAAGGGGCTGTCCCCTATAATTAGGGATCAAGGGACCTTGAAAGTTTTTGCTTTATAACTCAAAAACGGTAAATATTTCGAAATGACTATCGATTATAAAGTTGTGTTTTAACATCTTACTGATCTCATGAAATTGTTATTGTGTTCGAGTCTTGTTTTTAATGAGCTGGTACATGACCTATATATGCACAGGTAGTTCTTTTCACTCAGCACGTAAATGAGAGCTCCTCATGCGGGTAACCAAAGCAAGCTTACTACATTGTATATATAATAAACATGGCTACATTGGATGCTAATATTCTTCAGAATAAAGTTCTTGAAGTGTTTTTGCTTTTTTTCTTACAAATTATAATGTTTATTCACTGACAACTTTCCCTTCAATTTCATTCAAAAAAAAAAAAAAAAAACAAAAAAAAAAAACAAGCCTACTAAAAATGGAAGAAATACAATTTTTTCTTCTTATCACATAAAACCAAACAATATACTGAGAAAATAAAACATAACTAGAAAGCACATACTCTATTCACAGCCATTAAGTGCACGGCTTTAACATTCACCTTGTTTGTATACATTTATATAACGCGCCTCCCTCGATAGCGGCGGGGCAAAGTCGGTCACTGGGAATCAATCGGCGGGTGGTCCAGCGACCTACGGTCATACGCAAAAAATTAAACACCACAGAATTGTTGAATTAAATCTTGATAAAATTGTTCCTTTTTATACTATCTCTGTCCCATGAAAATATTATTTTGTTCCGAGTCTTACGTATACATGTACGTTTGAAAGAAAGCTTGATCCGTATTCACCGTAAACAAGGATCCGTTCTCATTTTGATATTGAAGAATTCTTTATGCGTATAATTGAAATAAACTTGCCGTAACTAATAAATATTTTACGACGCTGTATCATATCTCTTTTTTAAATTAGGTTTAAACGTGTTCTTTGTTTCCCGTTTAGAGTATTCGATGGTATCATTTTCCTTTTATTAATAAACATCTTTCCAAGAGAAAAAGTTATAGAAAAAAGTACGAGTATCTTTTATTCGTTTGAATATAAACACAAACAATTTGAACAGAAACAATATACGCCCGGATTTCCTAAAATAAAACTTTTGAGGGTCAAATAATAAACAATTATTTACTGCGCGATTCTCATATTGACCTGGAACCCAGATTCTAAGTATGTTTGCCATTACGTAATCTATCTTTCGATTACAAGCGGCCGAGAAGTTCTAAAGCGACACACCGCGGTGAACCATTGACCCCGCAGTCATAGGCAAAATAATTGGTATATTCAAACCATTCTACAAAAGTAGGAAAATATTACTTTCTCTAGGTAAATTAAATCTTTCAAAAATATACATCTTAAAATGTTTTAGTTAAGTACAAAACGCTGAGGCATTTATTTTACACGTACATTAATGACTCTTCAATTTTTAAATATTCGTTAGCTCCATGTGTAATTGATGATTCATAGCGCATGCAAGGACTGGCGATCTGCATGCAGTTACTTTACTTCAACCAATATTTATTAAAATGCACAAGCTTTGCTCTTTTCACACACAAATAAATCCGTTTTCAACACAAGTTTTCCGAAACAAATTTTTTTTTCATCACAGATATTAACCAGGGCTATACCAATTTTAAACTTTTAAAGAGAATCTTCCGAATCGTAAGGATAGAATTATACTCAATGAAATGGATTAAACATCGATAATTAACAGCGGCACGTGTAAACTTCATAAGTGACTTCTGTGCTGCACCCTGTCTATTAATTCATATTACAGGATTTATAGTCAAGTTCAAGAAATAATGATTTTAAAGCAATGAACTAAATTTGTTTTATAATTTATTCAAAACCCGTATAAATGATTAGCATAGTGTGCAAACATTGTAATTTTGTTCCGTGATTAAATATCAGTAGCAGGTTATACAATGTACATTCAAGTAGTAATAAACCCGCATATGTCCAGAATCGAAAATTTAAGAACTTATATACCGGGGTAACAATCTAATCTGAATATTACAGACTTATCATGTAATTACACGCTTTTACAACCTAAATTAAACTGTTAAAATCATAACTGGCACCAAAGTCAAACCATTTGTATCGTTTACCGTTTATAATATAATATTTTCTTTAAAATGATGAACTTATATCTAGCGCAAATTACTTTCCTTAATGGTTTAAAAAAAATACGTGTACGAGAGATAGCGATTGAGAAGAATTTTATTCAAGTACATTCAAGTTTTACCAGGAAGTCCCTGTATCAAGTATTGTCTAATTTTTATTCTATGAAACTGTTTTAAAAATCATCTCCCTTTCCTATTTAAATTTAATTTATTTGATGATTTTATTCAACTTCAAGCACAATATCATTATGTAGTACTAAAATGAAGTCCATGCACGGATGCTATTGTACATCGGGAATTTTCTTTAATCCTTTAACCGTATGGATAAAGGATTAAAGAAAATTCCTCCTTCAAGGAAAATAATTATGAATGAATTGATTGAATAACGTGTATAAAACCATGTGGTTTCGGTTTGTCAACGTGTTTAAGATCATGATCAGCAAATCACAACTCCTCGGGTCTTCCTGTCTAACAGAATAATAACCTCAAATGTATTAAGTATACATCATGACATCCCCATGCTCCTCACACCCTTTACCCAAACTTTGAAATAAATAAGGAAAGATATCTTATTTGTGGACTTTTGAGTTTAATTTTAATGAAAGTAAAGCTATTAACTAAAATACGTATTATGGAAGGGACTTTCAATCCCGTCTATCTTTCATAAATAGAAACTCCATGTTGTTTGAATATTAATATCCGGTGATGTTTTAAAATACCTCAATGTTGTTTTTATGACCTATGACAAAATGGAACGAGATAATGCAAATTTCAAACATCTTCATAGGCCAATGACTGAAAAGTTGTAAAATTCCTGTCAGGGTTATGAACTTCTAATCACTAAAAGGTGTTTGTCTTGACACAGAGCCAAGGTTATTCTGTTAAGATCAAGGTCACTGACAGAAGAAATATTTTCTTTACCACGCTATGAATTAGTAAATGAAAATCATAGGATTCTCTTACTTAAAACATAGATTACTTATGATTGGAGGTTTTGTCATGACGCTGATCAAACGTCTTTCTGGCAAATAAAGGTCACTGACAAAGAAAAAAATGTTTAAGCATAACTTTGTAATTAATGCCCTTTCACACGGAGAGTTTAATTCGAATTAAACCTAAAGTTACTGCGAATTAGCTTCGCTTAGCGGACACACGGAGAATTTAATGCAAAATAGTTTAATTCGAATTAGTTTACTGCGAATTTAATTACTTTGCATTAGCTCCGTGTGAACGCTAAGCAAAGCTAAGTCAAATTAAATTTTGAGGCATGCGTAAAGGCAAAATTAGGTCATATGCCACATGCCCGTGGTCAGCTTGAAGTATTTGTACTAATTTTTGTGAGTGAAGAACTAATGAAAATTGTATTGATCACCAAAATGTTTGTACAGAACCTGTAACATTATGTCAAATGTATCTGCTTCTGCATAAGGTGACGTGATTTGCAAATGACGTCACGATAGACTTACTGACGCCTGGCCGTAGAAGTAGAACTTTAATTCGCATTAGTTTACTTCGCATTAATTTACTGCGAATTAAACTCGTCGTGTGAAAAGGGTATTCACAGGAGGCTCATGCTGGGAAGAAAGGTTGTTGACGTAAGAAAGTGCAGTGACCTTGACCCAATGTCTGTGCTTCCTGTCCACAGCTCCAACGGAAGACCTACTCGTTGCTTTGCAACGAGCTCGGCTCTAGTTTTACATTCTTACTGTTAGTTACAAAAGTGCTCAAAAGAAAAGAATTCACATAAAATATAAATATGCATCACTCAACAAAATGGTGATATGTGTTTGCTAATGCAAGCACAAAGAACCGTTTCTAAATTATATTTCAACCTCATTTAAAAGGGAACGTCTATCGTCAATAAAATAATCATGTTAGCAAATGCAATCTATAAATCGAATGCTGTCTGAC